GTTTTGGTGCCTGTCCTGGATCTCTCTCTGTAGACCAGGCTGGCCTCGAACTCACAGAGATCCGCCTGCCTCTGCTTCTGAGGGCTGGGATTAAAGGCGTGCGCCACCACTCTTTTTTGTGAGTTGCAGAGATCAAATGGTGAGAAAAGGGGCGGGGGGAGAAGTCATTTGAAGAAATGTAAAGCAATCCTAAGCAGAAAGAGTAATTTTAAAGGTGTCTCAATACCTGATATCAAATGCCTGATATTAAATTATCCTACAAAGCCATAGCAACAAAAAACAGGCATAAAAACAGACATGCTTATCAATGTCATAGAATGAAAGATCCAGAAATATAAAACCTAACACAACTACAGCTAGCTAATGTTCCACAAAGCTGTCAACAACATAAATCAGGGGAAAAAATTCTTTTCCAACAAATGATGCTGGGAAATGTCCACATATAGAAGAACTAAACTAGATCCATATCTCTCACCCTGTACAAAAATTCAAAAATGAATAAAAGACCTTAATGCGAGACCTGGACATTTGAAGCTGCTGGAGAAAAATGTAGAGGAAGCGTTTCAGGATCTATATGGGCACAGGAAGAACTTTCTGAAAGGGGCTGCTATAGCACAGGAAATTATCCCAAGAACGGACACACAGGGAAGGAAACTAACACCTGAGTGAGGAGACAGCTATGGGGTGGTGCTTGGGGTGGGGTGGGGTGTCTGTGTGAGCTACGCACCAAACAGGGATTAATAGCTACAACATATAAAGAGCTACAAAAAAGCCAGATCATCCAAGGATCTGGGTTAAAGGAGCTGAGTGGGTAATTCACAAAGGAAGGAAACACAAGTGGCCAGTACATGTTTGAAAGAGTGACTGACTTCTTTAGTCATCAACAGAATGCAAATTGAAACTGCTTTGACCTTCCCCCCAAAGCTGAATAATTACCATGACAACAAAAGCTGGTGAGGGTGGGAGAAACATTGAGCCAGTGTACCTGCTGTGGATGTGGAGGGTGGAGGGAGCTGGCTCCTGTTTGCTGCATAGACATAAGAACTTGAGATAGGCATGAGGACTTGAGTTTGGATTCCCAGCACCCCCATTTATTTATTTATTTATTTATTTATTTATTTATTTATTTATTTATTTATTAAAGATGTATTTATTTATTATGTGTCCAGTGTTCTGCCTGAATGTATGTCTATGTCTGCAGGCCAGAAGGGCGCACCAGATCTCATTACAGATGGTTTTCTGCTACCATGTGGTTGCTGGGAATTGAACTCAGAACCTCTGGAAGAGCCGCCAGTGCTCTTAACCCCTGAGCCATCTCTCCGGCCCCTAGCATCCCCATTTAAAACTAGGTTTACCATCATGTGTCTGCTACCCGATTGCACTAGGAAGGCAGAGCTAGGTAGGGCCCGGGCACTCGTTGGTCAGACAGCCTAGCTGAATTGAAGAGCTGCAGGATTAGTAAGATAGCTTGTGCCCAAAACCACGGTGGAGAAGGATCAAGGAAGACAGTCAGTATCGACCACACACACACACACACACACACAAACACACACCACACCACTCACCATGCACACACATACAAACTAAAAATGGAACTACCATGTGACCCAACTATAGCAACAGGACATATACTGAAGACACTTGCACATCCATGTTTATTGCCACACAGTAGTCAGAAAATGGAACCAACCCAGGTATCAACAGATGAAGAGAGAAAATGCAGCACAGATACACAATGGAATTTTTTTTTCAAGATTTATTTATTATGTACACAGAAGAGGGTGCTTATTACGGATGGTTGTGAGCCACCATGTGGGTGCTGGGAATTGAACTCAGGACCTCTGGGAGACCAGTCGGTGCTCTTAACCTCTGAGCCATCTTTTCAGCCAATGGAAATTTATATCACAACTTTTGCAGGGAAACGGATAGAACTGAAAATCATTACCTTAGGCAAAATAAGCCAGACCCAGAAAGACACATTTTTTTCACCAGAGGCAGAATCTGGATGTCTCTGTCTCTCTTTCTCTGTCTTTCTGTCTCTGTGTCTCTCTGTCTCTGGGTCTCTCTCTCTGTCTCTGTATCTCTTATGTGTGTGTGTGTGTGTGTGTGTGTGTGTGTGTGTGTGTGTGTGTGTGATGACAACAGGGGGACCACAAGAGGGAAGGAAGAGATTCTAGAACAGGGAAGAGAGTAGTGGAATGCATGTGATTTGAAGGTGGAACCAGGGACTATTGTAGGGAGGATGGAAACTAGGAGGAGAAGAGGTGGGGGGATGGGGTGGGAGATGTAGAGAGGATGAATAAACACAGAACACAAGAACAGATGTATGAGACACTATAATGAAACCCATTATTTTGTAAACTAACTTTAAACTTTTATTTATTATTATTATTATTATTATTATTATTAAATTTTCACTATAACTGGGTATGGTGGTGTATGCCTTTAATCCAAGTGCTCAACTGGGTAGGAGGCAGAGTCAGGTGGAGCTGTGTGAGTTCAGGCCAGCCAGGTCTATACTGGGAGTTCCAGGCCATCTAGGGCTACATAGTGAGATCTTGTCACACGATTGTCCAGCAAGCAAATGGTGATCCTCAAACCAAGAAGAGGAACCTAAGGAGCTAGCACCTTGATCTCAGACTTTCAGGCCCCAACTGTGAGAAATAAACATCTGTTGCTTATGCTTCCAGCCCGTCTGGGATGCAGCCCAAGCTAAGACCCTCGCCTCACGCTTCTCCGTTTTCCTCACAGCACTTAAGTAAGTGTTTGCTGTATATTTATCTCCTCCTGGAAAAGCAATTATATATGCTGCTCTTTGACTGTTTCCTTAGAATCTGAGGCAAAGAGATTCCCATCAATTTTTCAATAAATATGTTAGAGGGAAGACTCTGGTCTTTAGACTCTTCTATGAACTAATGCAAAGCTGGTCTTTTGTGCCATTAGTTCAGAAGAGAGCTGTTTCCCTCAAGGATGAAGGATAACTGGACTTGGTGTGTGATATAGAAGAGGAAGAAGACGGGAAGTTAAGACGGGATGGGGAACGGGGTGGATCTGAAGGGAGTTAGGGGAGGAACAGGGGGCGAATATGATCAAAATACACTGTGTACGTGTATGAATTTCTAAAAATAATAAAATGTATTTAAAAACAGTAGGAGATAGCGCTGCTGGTCACTAGCATGGTGATTATAGAACTGTAAAAATGGAAGGCAGTAGCACTGTGGTTATTTTAGCTCTAGGCACAAGACACAAAAGAAGCCTACAAATACATTTTACAGTTTGTGGTCACTGAAGGTAATTCAGTAGGAGAATCAAAGAACAGGAGAGCCATTGTTTACCACGATGGTTTAAAAAGTTTTGTTTGTTTATTTCATTTTATGGCTTTGCTGTTTGTTTTGTTTTTTATGATCCTGACCTGTGGTGACTGTATATCTGAGCCTATGGGGGGGGGGACACACGGACGGACATCTGAACAACTTGCTCTTTCAGTCCATTTGTTAGACAAAATACGAGGAAGCATGGTCTATTTTATCATTTTTTGTTTGTTTGTTTGTTTCTAAATGGCTATTTAAATGCAGATAACAGGACACACGAGAAACCGGAGGAGCGGGTCTTGCCGCCTTAACCAACCCGCCTGCTACCCGATATGTCCACTCTGGCCTGAAGAGGCAGCTGTGCCCCGTGGTGCAATGTGTCTGGAGGCCTGCCCAAGCGGAGCCCAGGGGGCAGGGGCCACCCTCAGAGAGAGAGAGCTGTGGGGGTAGAGACGAATCACAGATGACATATGCCATCCATGTCATTTCAGAACAGAGTGGGGGTGGGGGGAAGGAACTGCGGACCACGGGAAGAGAAGAATCGAAGCCAAGTCCACTGGATTTTACTTAGAAGATCCAGCCACATAACGCAAAGCATGATGAGGGGCCCAGCTTGTGTAGTGTAGATCATTTGCTTAAAGCAACCGGCCTTTCTTCTGAACTAAGTGTGGCTTGGCCGGGGCTCTTTTATTTGCACTGATGAGGCCGAATACATGGA